CCAATGAAGCCTGGAACATCACTAGAAGCAAAAATAACAAAATTGAGGCTATCCTACTTTGGGCACAACATGAGAAGGCAGGGTTCTCTGGAAAAGATAATAATGCTAGTGGAAAAAAAAAGCAGAAAAAAAAGACCAAATATGAGATGGGATGACCCCATAAAAGGAGCTATAGGACCAACCAAGACTATAGCAGCTGAGCTGGGCTGTTGAGGACAGGACATTGTGGACATAACTCATTCACAGATTGCCAGGCCTAGGAGTTGACTGACTCAATGGTATGTAACATATATGTATACTAATAAACTATCCATATTCCTTCACTCTACATACACACAGCATCTTTTGCATGTTGTGACTGTGCTAAACATTGGGAGTGTGGACATGAAAAATACAGCCCCTGTAGTAGGGAGACTGAATACAGCAGAAGAGCAGTACTAGCAAGATAATGATGACGGTACCTATGTGCAAGGGTGTATAAAGAAGAGAAAACCACTGCAGAAACACTAAATCTTCCAGGATGGATTCGAAAGGGATACCAGTCCATCCTGGAGGCACATGGGAAGGCGAGCAGGGAAAGCTTCCCAGAGGAACAGTGACTGAGTATCAGGAAAGACCAGAATGGAGCAGGCATGGGCTTTCAGCACTTAGTGGTTCTGACAGAGTTAGGAGTGAGAATTTATTTGATAGTAGGAGTGTGAGAGAAATAAAGGATAGTCATGAGCAAGTATTAGCAGTAGCAAAGCCTACCAAGTTTAGGTTTTAGCTAATGGACAACGGGTCACCCTGGAAAGTTTTAAGCAGGGGAGTGACAGATCCAATTTATATTTTAGAAAGATGAGCTTTTCAAAAAGACAGAAGTGGACTTGAAACAGGCAAGACTAGATGCTGAGACTATGAGGAGGCACTCAAGTGTCCTGATAAGAAACAATTAGAAATAATGAGGGGAAGAACATGAGGATGGAGACAAGAGGGTGGTACTTAAAACTAGCTATCTGATAAAACAGGAGTGGTACAGCGAATCTTGGTTGACGTCTCCATCGCTTCTCATTGAGTTGGTGTACAGAAGCAAAAAGAACTGATTTGGAGCTGATGAGAAAGAGAAGATGACAAGTTTGCTTTTGAACTTGCTAAGTTGAAGAGGCCTAAGGAATGTTCCAATGGAGGTATCTACCAGGAAGGTAGATAGAAAGATTTGAAGCTGAACATAAAGACACTAGGCTGCAGGCATAGATGCTGGAGGCACCACTCAGTTTTACATGAGTGGATGACTCAGAGAAAGTTTGAGGAAAGATCAATAATAGAGAGAGGAACAGGAAAATAGCCAACCCATGAAAGAAACTAAGGGCCACCAACTAGTGAGATCAGTGATGCCAAGGAAAGACAGCCTCAAGAAGAGAGTCCAACAACTGGGAGCGATACAGAGACATGGATTAGGGAAAGGAGTACATTGATCAGATCCCCCAATTATATTATAACCTCAGAGGTGGCTTTGGTGAGAACAGGCTCAGTGGAATGGTGAGGGTGCAGGTACACTTCAGGGGTGAGAAGTCATTTGACAAGAGAGGAAAGATAGGACTAGTTTGGAATCTTTAAGGGATGACAAAGATGCCTTTTTCAAAAGCTGGGTTGTTAACAGAAGGGAGAGCTTAGTTATTAGAAGGGAATTGTGATTTATAGTTAGGATCACCATGGTTTCTGGTTTAGTGTCTAATGTCTTAGGCATCCCCTTCACCCCTTAACTCTCAGGAGGTAATAATTTGGTTACCTTATGATAGTTAAAATTTAGAAGATTGTAACAACAAGTATTATGTGATAATTATATGCAAGGCATTGAGCCAGATATTTATGGGGACTTAATGACCGAAACTGTTTGCAAAGAGCTTAGAAATTTAGGATGTGCACAAATATGTGTGTGCATATGTGTGCACACATGGCCTACTACTATAGGACGACACTTTTATTTCTGAATATATGTATGGTATTGGACTGTTTCCACAAACATTTGTGACAGCAGGTTGGGCCTTTCTTTTCCACTGAGAAAATTTACATACATTACAGACAAGAAGAGGTGTCCCAAATGAGAACAGGAAAGCGATCACTGGATGCCTCCCATCTTGGCCATCTTAGATAGAAGGTGGAGGTGGGCCACCCAAGGGGGAGAAGCAGTAAATCAGGCTGGTTGACAGAGCTCAAGCTCTTTTTGTCTAGTCCTCCGAGGATTGGGGTGAAAGGGCAGGGCAGTGACATTCAGTTCTGCTAAGAGCTGTCAAACAAATTTGAAACAGACCTGGAGCTAGTTCACCACCAGAAGGCTAAGAACATAGTAAGGGCAATATCTGACACCATGTATTGTTACCTTGAGTAGAAAATAGAGAGATTTTGTTGAAAAATCATTCTGGTATCTGCCCTATGGAATCTGAATCTTTCAGCCACTACTCTATAAAAATACTTAATTTGAAGTCTCAAAATGTTAAAGAAATCTCCTCACATCTGTATTTAAAAATCCACCTAACACAGGGGAATATAAAAGAAGACAGAGCTGTTAAAAGGTGTAAGAGGGGTTCAGAGAACAAGAGACCCATCTTGTCAATGTGATGGAGGCAGACTTCTTAGAGAAAGCACTCAGCTCAGAGGTGGGCCTAAAGCATGCACAGGTCAGTCGGGGGTGGGGTGGTGATGAGCAGGCCCTGAGGCCACAAAAGAAGTACCTCAGTGAGCTCCCAGGGGGTCATCCATACAGTTAGTAAACAAATATTTACTGACCAGGTTCTATGTACCAAGCAGTAGTCTAGATACTGGAGATACAGGATTGAGGGGATAAGAATTTATTTGTGAATATGCAAAGGTGTGAACTCTTGTGGTGACATTTCTCACCTGAACTGAACAGAATATTATTATCACTTCATGCTTCTCTAAAGTAACCCCTGTTGTGCATGTAGCATAATATATATGGTACATGTACTATATTATCTTTCTAAAATCCAAAAATATTGAAATTCCAAGTCATCTGGGCCCAAGATTTTTAAATAGAGACTGTAGATCAAAAGTTGCCCAAGCTAATGACTGATGATCTTGAGAATGAGAGAGAATGATAATTTGTTGTTGAAAGTCATTATTTATTTACTTAAAGTCATAAACCATGCTTATCAGAGAAGGCCAATTTTATCAACAATCTTGTGATAATTAACCCACAGACTATGACCTTATGGATTTAGTTTTAATAATCTCATTCAGAATAAAGGCCAGTGCTAGAACCACATGTATAAATTCACCATTGAAATAATTATTTTACAAATAAAATGTAAGTAATTTTCACAGGTTAAATCTAAAATACCATGACTATTCTGCATTGGTCATGACATTTCTTCAGGTTGGATGGCTAGTATAGTGATATTTAAGTTGAGGTCTGAATGACAAAATGTAGTCAGCCCTATGAAGATAAGGGAGAATTATTGTCTAAGCAAAGAAGTAACAGTCTTGAGAGGCCCTGAGGTGGAAGGATTTGGGAAGTCTGGGCAACAAAAAGGTCCACTGTGTTGCAGCACAGCTGAATCATGGGCGTGAAGATGCACTGAGGCACAAGCAGGGGTCAGGACTACACTCTGTAGATTTTACTGTAAGTACAATATAATGGGAATATACTGCAAGGATTTTAAGTACAAAACTGACAGGATCTAATTTAAAATTTAAAAGGATGTCTTTGGGATATAAACTATAATCCAGTTTGGAAAAAGTAGAGATATATATAGAAAGGTAATGGAATTTAGAAAAAAGATCAATTATGGCCAGCTATAGGTAAAAGGCAATAATAATAGGTAAAGGCTTATATGACAATAATGACTTGTGGTCAGTTTCAAAAATTAAATACCTGTGGTCACATAAAATATTATTAATTTAATGAATCTGGTTTTTACTTTCGATTTTTGACATCACTATATTGTTAGTATCTACTGTAAACACTATGATAAAAACCAAAGGTGTTAAATAGTAAACAATTTTACTGCCATTTAATAAAATCATTACACAATAAAAACAATAGTGATTACAGTGGTGAGTTAAAAGAATGAAGATTAACTCAAATCTGTTAACCATTCACTGGTGAATCTACATATATATCTCCAAGAAAAACCCTATGTCTAATATAAACATGATCATTTCTATCTAAGATTACTTCTACATATAAATGTCAATAGGCAGCTCAATTTTATGTATTGCAAACTACTTCATATAAAGAAGTAACTATTTCATTAATCAAAGAGTTTATTTGATTCAGCAAGCAACAATTAATACTGAAATGGCGTCAGTCATTTTCCTGCAGGTCAATTTTCTTTGCTAAATTACTACAATAATCTTACTCCTATATATTTTCCTTTCATCCTTCACCTTCTCAGCATCAATAATTAGGTCTTATGTAGAAGTGTCCAGATTTCTTAACTAAATTTTTTGATAATGGTCTCAAAGTCATTGTAGAAAACTGTCAAAATCTGGCCCTGGCCTTGTGGCTGGAGTATTCTCTCACACACCAAAAGGTTGTAGGTTCAGTCCCTGGTCAGACTATGTATGGGAGGCAACTGGTCAATGTTTTTCTTTCTCACTCTCTCCGCCCCCTCCCCCTTCTTCTCTCCCTAAAATCAATAAAAACATATCTTTGGGTGAGGATTAAAATATGTGCAACAAAGGAATATTACAGGAAGCAAGTATACATTACAAAAATTATAATATATTATAAGGTATAATAAATTATTCTCTGGAATTTAAAAATAATTATGCCATTAAGTATTAATGATTAAAAAGCATACTAAATTCCAAACTATCAAGAAATGGCTTTTAGCTAATAAAAAGTTACAATCAAACTAATCTCTCAGTGAATATAAGAAAAGTGATTAAAAATAATAGCATTTTAAACATATGTTAATTGATAAAAAGCATATCCATATTTATTACTCTAGATGTACTAGAATACTTTTAGAGAACTTCAATAACTTGAAATCATTTACCTGTTGGAGGCAGGCAGTCTTTCCAATCAAAATAGCCTGCATAAATTCCAGGTTCTAAGGAGCCAACGATGGGATCTGCTTTCAATTCAATGTAATTTTCAAACAGCCTGTGGTCTAAATCTTTCAATAAAGTCATGCTAACCTAAAAACATATAATAAAGAATAATTTTAAGTTGTCCACTTGAGGGTGAAGGAAGAGATAATAATGTAAATTTAAAAACACTTCAGCATATTTTAAAAGTACATATCAATTTTCCTACAAAAACATTTATTTTATTTATGTTCAGTAATAAAGATCATTTTTAGCACAGCTATTTAATAGAATAAGGATTAATTCCCATATGTGGACTGTAGGTTATTTACACAGAATGTTCAGCCTATATGTACTGTGAGTTCCTGCTGGTAGTGGAAGTAGAACAGGGTGAGGAAGTGAGTTAGTACCAGTCCAACAAGTCTGTGCTGGGTCCCACAGACACCCAAGAAGTTATGGAGTGGGTGGGTAGAATGCTGAGTTTGGGAAGTAAAGAGTCTGTGGGCCCAATTCTTCTGCAGTAGACTAGTAACCTGTCTACTTCTATACCATTGACCCACAAAACACAAGCATCTCTCTAACACAAGACCTGAGTTTTAAGACACTAATATCGAGAAACAAACACACATCTAGGGAGTCTAGCAGCTATAAATAAGGATGTTTGTCAGGCAGTGAAATTCAGCTGTAGAGGAGAAAAGCAACAACTTGAACTTAGAAAAATAATTAAAATCCTTCAGGAAATTAAAGTATAACATAAAGCAAGACTCCATGAAGATAGACTTCTGGCCAAGATGGAGGTGTCGGTAATCACGATTTACCTCCTTGTACAACCATGAAAAGGATCACAGCTAACTTAAAAACAAAAAAACAACCAGAACTGCCAGAAAATCAAACTGCATATAAGTCTGACAACCAAGGATTTAAAGAAGAAATATTCATCCAGATAGGTAGGAAGAGCAGAGATGTGGAGCCAGGGTGGAGAGGACGTGGTGTGCTGGCGGGGCAGCAGCAGTTGGTGGCCAGTGGAAAAGGTGGTCCTGCATTTTTACATGAGGTGGATAAAAACCAGGGAGGACACCTAGAGAGAAAGCGATCCCAGCCCCAGGCCAGACTCCATAGCCCAGTGTTCCAGTGCTGGGAAATAAAGCCTCATAATTTCTGGCTGTAAAATCCAGTGGGGGTTGGGGTGACAGAAGAAACTACTGGTCTCTCAAGAGAATCCATTTAAAGGACCCAGAAGGTCCTAGAATGTATGCAAACCCACCCACTCTGGCATTCAGCATCAGGGCAGCAGCTAGAAGGGTGCCAGTTGCATACAGGAAGTGGAGGAAGTGACTGGAAATGAGGCGAGAGCCAAGCAAGTGATACTATTCTTACTCTGACCCCTCCTCCACATACAGTGCCACAAAGTGGCTAAGTGGAGTGTCTTATCCGGGAGAATACCTAAGGCTCCACCTCTTACACATAACAGGTGTACCAAAACAAGGTACACCTCAAAACAGCTCTACCTAATACACAGAAACAAACACAGGGAGGCTGCCAAATTGGGAAGACAAAGAAATATGGCCCAAATGAAAGAACAGACCAAAACTTAGGAAAAAGAACTAAGTAAAACGGAGATGGCCAAACTGTCAGATGCAGAGTTCAAAACACAGGTGATGAAGATGCTCAGAGAACACCATGGCACAGACATAAGGGAAGAAATGAGGGCTATACTAAGTAAAATAAAGAAAAATCCACAGGGAACCAATAGTGAAGGGAAGGAAGCTGGGGTTCAAAATTACTGAATTGGAATGTAAAGAAGAAATAAATAGTCAACCAGAACAGAATGAAGAAAGAAGAATTCCAAAAAAATGAGGAGAGAATAAGAAGACTCTGGGACATCTCCAAATGTACTGCCAACATCTGAATCATAAGGATGCCAGAAGGAGAAGAACAAGAAATTAAAAACTTGTTTGAAAAAATAATGAAAGAAAACCTCCCTAATTTGGCAAAGGAAATAGACATACAAGTCCAAGAAGCACACAGTCCAAAACAAGTTAGACCCAAAGAGGAACACACCAAGACACATCATAATTAAAATGCCAAAGGTTAAAGATAAAGAAAGCATTTTAAAAGCAGCAAGAGAAAAGCAGAGAGATACCTATAAAGGAGCTCACTTAAGACTTTCAGCTGATTTCTCAAAAGAAACTTTGCAAACAAGAAGGAACTGGCAAGAAGTGTTGAAAAGTGATGAACGGAAATGACCTACAACCAAGATTACTCTATCCAGCAAAGCTGTAATTTAAAATTGAAGAGCAGATAAAGTGCTTCCCAGACAAGGTAAAACTAAAAGAGTTCATCATCACCAAGCCATTATTATATGAAATGTTAAAGAGATTTAAGAAAAAGAGGAACATCAAAACTATGAACATTAAAATAACAAACTCACAACTATCAACAACTGAATGTAAAAACAAAAACAAAAACAAACTAAGTAAACAACTAGAACAGGAAAAGAATCATAGAAATGGAGATCACATAGAAGATTATCAGCAGAGAGGGGAAAGGGGGATAATGAGGGCAAAGGTACAGGGATCCAGCAAAGCTTTCATTGAGACTGGAAGGACAGATACAGTGCTTCACAGATGAGGTCAAGTTAAAGGAGTACATCATCACCAAACCCTTATTACATGAAATGTTAAAGGGACTTAGATCTAAGAAAAAGAAGATTAAAAATATGAACAGTAAAATGACAACAAACTCACAACTATCAACAAATGAACCTAAAGGAAAAGAAGAACAACAAAAACAAAAACTAAGCAAACAACTAGAACAGGAACAGAATCAGAGAAATGGACATCACATGGAGGGATTTCAGTGGGGAGGGGGAAGGGAGGAATGGGGGGAAAGGCACAGGGAAGAAGCAGCATAATTTGTAGGCATAAAATAGGGAGAGATAAAAAATGGTATAGGAAACAGAGGACTCAGAGAACTTATATGTACAACCCATGGACATGAACTAAGGGGTGGGGGATGATAGTTGTGGGGGCAGGGTGGAGGGGAGATAAAGAGGCAAAAATTGGGGCAACTGTAATAGCATAATCAATAAAATATACTTAAAAAACTTAATGAAGATAAAATACATGATTTCCAAAGCTAACAACTGACTACATTAATTGGAGAAACTACTGGTCACTACTAATATTGAAATTAAGTGCAATTAAATACCTCAAAACACAGAGTAAAAATGTAAAGGGGTGTAATATGTGTATAAAAAGTCACCAATCTGTACACTTAAGATTTGTGTATTTTATTGTATACACAAAATTATACTTCAATTTTTAAAAAAGATTTATTTATATATTTTTAATAAATAGAAGGGTGAAAGAATGGGAAATATCAATGTGTGGTTGCCTCTCATGTGCCCCCTACGCAGGGCCTGGTCTGCAATCCAGGCAAATGCCCTAGACTGGAAATAGAACTAGCGACCCTTTGGTTCATAACCTGGTGCTCAATCCACTGAGCCACACCAGCCAGGGCTATACCTCATTTTTTTTTTAAAGGTTGGAAATAAATGGATGACTAGAAAGATACTAGGAAAATGAAACAAAAACAGTACAGGGGGAGCATTAATTTGTGACAAGGTGGAATTAAGGTAAATTGTACTCCATTAATTTTGTTGTGAAAATTTAATAAGACAATTTATGAAACTTGTGTACACATTTAAAGTACACAGCAAAAACTAGCAGCAATTATTATTATTTCAATTGCCTTGTTTCCACTAATGCCCTGGTCACACCAGCTATGAACACAGATGTTAACTAAGTATGTTTGACCCTACTTGAAATGTAACAGTAATGCACATCCATCATTAAAGCACTACCTGACAGTGATAGATGAAAGTTAAATGGAAAAATCCTGTCAAGGAAATCACTGTCTAACAGAAAAGAAAGACAAACATTCATAAAACTACCTGTTAAAAAAGATAAGGCTATTAAGGAAGCAGACAGAGAGTGTTTAAAGGGGCACTACTAAGAGGACTGAAAAGGATTCACAGAGAAGGTGATGCCTAAGGGTATGCTACCTACCCTTTTAGGTCAGGTGTCTCTAACTAAAACAGGGTACCTATCTAAATGAAAAAAAGTGGGACTCTTAATTTAATAATTATATACTCAGAAATAGCTGTATTCATTAAATTCCTACATATTAAAACTGGGCAGCACCTTTTAGAGTACTTCAAACAGTTGGTAGCAACTTATAGAAATACAGGATATATTAAGAGGCAGTATTTTGTTTTAAATATAGGAGCAATTAATACTTGTAAGAATCTACCATTATACTGTAACTTCCTTAGCAACAGTATGCACATCAAAATATATTCTTGTGCTCATTTTGGCAGCACATATACTAAAATTGGAATGATCTAGAGATTAGCATGGCCTCTGAGCAAGGATGACATGCAAATTTGAGAATCATTACATATTTTTTGTCAATTAATATTTGACAAAGGGGGCACAAGCATACAATAGAGTAAAAATAGTTTCTTCAATATACAGTGTTGAGAGAACTGGACTAGTACATGCAAAAAAATGCAACTAGACCACCAACATACACCATACACAAGAATAAAATCAAAATGGATAAAAGACTTAAATATACATTATGATACCACAAATATCCCGAAGGAAACATAGGCAGTAAAATTTCAGATATCCAATTAGCCAATATTTTTGCAGATATATCTCCTAGGGCAATGGACTACACCAAAATAAAAAGCTTCTGCACAGCTAGAAAAACCATCATCAAAATGAAAAAAGAAATGACTATATGGGAGACCATATTTGCCAATGATACATCAGAAAAGGGTTTAACCTCCAAAGTATATAAAGAACTAACACAACTCAACACCAGGATGACAAACAACCCAATTAAAAAATGGGCACCTACAAGAACTGGAGGAACAACAACAAAGACAGCCCAGGGCAAGTAGAAGGAAGGAAATAATCAAGATCACAGCAGAATTAAACAACATAGAGACTAAAGCAAAATTCTAAGGATCAATAAATCCAGGAGCTGGTTCTTTAAAAAGATAGACAAAACCAAGAAACCTTTAAGTAGACTCATCGAGA